ACTGATAACCTGCGGGATCCGGGTGGGTGCTCTGTTTGTGGAGTGCGAAACTCTGCTCGAAACAGACCCAGATCCAACAAGAAGGCCAACCAACCTGACCCCAGTTGCGATTGAGCATCTTGAAGGACTGCTCGAGCAACTGATAACCTGCGGGATCCGGGGGGGTGTTCTGTTTGTGGAGTGCGAAACTCTGTTCGAAACAGACCCAGATCCAACAAGAAGGCCACAAACGGAGGTACCATAAGAGTGCGTTTGGCAGTCCGCAAAGATAACCGCCGACTTTTTGGCACTCCTCGAAGGTGGTCGGGAAGCCGTTCGGCAGCGCGAGGCCTGTCCCGCTGACGAGATCAGATTTTGCGAAGTCCGGATCCTGGCGGACTTTCAGCGCCGTCCTGTACAACGGGAACCGCGGTCATCGATGCTCACCCTCCAAACAGCACACCTGCGTGGCCCGAACTACACATGACCACTAGCTACAGGCCTAAAACAAAGTTCAGATGCCGGTGGACGGGTCGGAAGTCATGGATGCTCGTCAATAGTCATCCTTTCCCCCCAGTATTTGAAGTCCGGATGGCAGCTAAATTTGTTATCATCGCACAAAGTTGGGATGCCGGCATGCCGGATGGCAGTTGAACTTACTAACGAAGTCCGGATGGCAGTTGAACTTACTTACGAAGTCGGGATGCCGGCGAACTCCAAATGTTCAGCGGCAAAATAGCCCGATCGTTGAAGTTCGGATTCGGGCGGACTTCGTCAGTACGCACCCGCAGCCGGTGCTAAAGCATTGGGTACAGAGCACACCAGTCATTGAAGTTTTGGTCTCCGCCCAACACTCGAAACTCGAAGGCCGATCGGACGGGTCCGTGGCCTCCAACCGCAAAGATATCACGGGCCGTGCTTGTGGTGCGGGGTGGTGCGAGCGGTCCGCCCGACACCAGCAAGACCGAAGACAAACCAACGCACAGCCCGAAACGCGAAGTTCGCCGAGATCCGAACTTCAGCAGGGTGCGACATGGAGAGAGACGGCGTCAGAGACACACGACCCGTACGTCGATGGTTGTTGAACTGAACGACGATCAGAGATTTGCACCACAAGTGCACGAGGCAGCGTCTACTAGCAACTGCTGCCTCTCACAGCTCTGTCCACTGCTTCAAATCAGCCATTTTCGACAGCACACAAGCCTCTCACACGTCTCCCTTCTTTTCCCTTAAACACAAGGTCTGACTACCCGTCCAGATCTAGTGACATTAGGGGTTCCCCGGGGACGAGGTCGTGAATCGAACCCATACAAAGCATTCATTGATGATCCGTATACGTGGATCTGCGGTTCGTCGACTGATGCACTCTCCGAAAAGACGGACATGTATTTCATCCTAACAAACACTCCCGGTCGTGCTAAGGAATTCCCTATACAGTCCCGTATATCGGACACTTTCTCCTCGACCTCATGATGCAATGAAAAGTTTTGGACCCGCCCTGCTATCACCAAATCTCGCCACCCATCTACACGAGCAGGCCCGCGTGCCGACACGAATTTGGACCCCTCAATTAGCACCTCGTTGCATGACACAAGCACAACTGCATCGACGAGTTTCCTACTCTTGTCCAAAGTAGCGACACATAGAACCCTGGCGAAATCGCATCCGGAGACAGTCAACCGCACACAACAGTATGACAGAGCTTGTGAAGAATTCCCGGGGCAACGGAGCGGGTACTGCACCAGGAACGCGCAGTGATGAGCGCAGTCCAACAACTCTTGTTTCCGCGAGCCTCCCGAAGGTCGTGGCGACGAGCTGACGTAATGGCACTCGAGGCGACTGAAATAGCGGCTAATGCAGCTCAGTGCTCTACGCATACGGTTCAGGAACTTGTGGCCGAGGACAGTGTCAGGCAGCGGGATGAGGTTCCCGAACTCTAACATGTTGGCGAACTTATACTAGCCTGCCCAAGGGTAGTCACTCTCCATCGTGGCCCAATTGCCATCGCACCGACCGTCAATATGCATGCCCATGCACGGGACGACGGTCATCCAGGGGTCCTCTTCGAAGTCCTCTGCGGTCGCTCCGTGGATCGTAGTGACACCGTTGAAATACCGCACGGATCTCGCACAAGGAGGAAGCGGTTCCGCCAAGCGAATGTGCGTCTCGAGACTCATGGTCCGTGGTGTCGAGAACATTGACTCCATGATCCGTGGTGTTGAGAAGGTCGCCTCCATTACGCACCCTACACACCACGCGCACATACCAAAGGATACACACGGGCACGTAGACACTCGTAAACAGAGTTGGCGAATGGGTACTGCCATGGCCACACCAACACGTAGTCGTCAAGTCTCGAACTGAATATTCACGAGGTTCCATATGCCTTCACGTGCTGCACATGCACAGGGGAATGCAGCTCCAGCCGATGTTCTACTGCAACTGCCTTTAATCCCCGTAATCAAACGACATTGTCCGCAATCTGAACTACCACTGATGGTATATGCCCATCTGAGCACATCGTTTGCGGTCAGACGGGTTTCGCGAATACCCGACAAGGAACGAGCACTTCGGTTGCAGAGTTTCTGTCCGGAGAAGTCCGCTCGCATCCGAACTTCAGTGACCTCCCTATTCCTCATCCGAACGTCGACGATTGCCCTGCTCTGCACCCGAGCATAAAACACATGAAGTCGGGATGCCGACGAACTTCAATTGCTCAGCGGCAAAATAGCCTGATCATTGAAGTTCGGATTCGGGCGGACTTCGACAGTAAGCACCTGCAGCCGGTGCTAGAGCATTGGATACAGAGCACGCCAATCATTGAAGTTCGGATTCGGGCGGACTTCATCAGTAAACACCCGGAGCCGGTGCTCGAGCATTGGATACAGAGCAGGCCAATCAATGAAGTTCGGATGCGGGCGGACTTCTCCAGTTGCCCCCACTGGCGGCGAGCGAACATTGGATGCAGAGGACGCCAAACACAAAAGTTCGGATGCGGGCGAACTTCTTCGGTCGTTCGCCTCAATGAAAACGTGAAGTTCAGATTCCGGCGAAATTCTTCTTTCACCCGTCCTATGCTGGACGTGGAAGACCTAGGTTCTAAGGGAGGTTGTCTGGAAAACCGAAGTTCGCCGTCATTCGAAGTTCCAATGCTGGTTGGAAAGGATGACTGCCAACGACCTTCAAGGAGGGCCGCCAGGCACGTCGTCGTCCCATCTTCGTCCGATGCAAATCGTGGTTGATTTGTGAAGTTCGGATGTCGGCGGACTTCGTGCAATAACGCATGGTAGTGCGATTGGACCCCGTGATGCTGCATTTCGAGTTTGGATCATTACGGACTTCCACAAAACTTGGTGGGTGGGCTTGAGCGCCATGCGTTTTGCGTGAGCGGTTGGATAGGTTCCGATGTGGTTCGCTGTCGAACCAGGTTCAACAATGTGGGATGGCCGGTTGGATGGATTCCGATGTGGATGCATTCTACGAGAGAGGTTGGTTCGATGTCGCACAAGGTTCGATGTCGAACAAGGTTCGATGTCGACCGAGGTTCGGCAAGATCCGATGGACTGTGAACGGTTTACGTAACGCAACAGTTCATCAGTCAAGAGATCGATGAGTATTTGGCAAGAGCTCGATGAACTGTTTGGCAAGATGCG